CATATGCACCGACAGAAAATCTATCAAAAGGTCCTTGCCAAAACCCGCTGTTTCTGACAGGAAATTCTCAGAGGTGGATGACCTTTTTTTTTTTTTTTTGTCCCTTGGATTCGTTTTCTGTCACGAACATCTGTGAGGAAAAGAAAACTGGCAACAAGATGAAGTGTAGTTAGAGGATGATTTAATCATCTCCTTGCCAGAACTCACTGTTTAAGATTAAGTGTAACAAGTCGTTCGGTGTGATATAGCTAGCTGCCGCCGCGCCGCGTGCCTGCGAAGCTGGTGTGTTACGCCGAAGGGTGGTTATACCGGCTATACCGATACAGATACTGTTTCTGACAGGAAATTCTCAGAGGCGAATGACTTCTTTACTTATACTCGTATAAGGCTCTGGGTACGACATGTGATGTGGACACCTCCCGTGTTTTTATCTACCCCCAGGCTCTTTTCCTTCTACATTTGTATGGAATATGGAAAATCCGCACCACACAGCAGTATAATTAGACCACGGAAATTGTGTGACAGGCTGAATAAAAGTTCTAAACGGGAACTATGCGGCTCCAGATGTCTTACTGAGGGACGACTGCGTGTGCAAGATGTCGGTAGCTTGAGGAATGAATCTCCCTCTACTATATAGACCACGGAAATTGATTTTCCCCAACCAAAACTCACTTGCTCCGACAGGAAATTCTCAGAGGTGAATGACTCTGTTATGAAAGTCTATACAATATGTGCGCCTGTGATGTCCGTGTTTTTGTCTCCCCTTTCTGGCCTAAGGCGTGTAACATCTGTGTCCATAATATCACCAGGGTCCATAATATCGCCACATTGAGAACTAGTGTGCTTAAAGATATTTTTACTGCAACATAACCTAGGTATGTACATTTGATGTGTGAAGGAGTGTATACCAAAAATATGTTGCAGTAAAAATATCTTAAAGCACACTGTTTCTCAAGGTGGCGATATTGTGGACCCTGGTGATATTATGGACACAGATGTTAGCATGTTTCTTAGGGTGTTTGTGCGTCAAATATCTGTGAAGATACAAAAACCGGCGGCACGCAGAAGTGTAATTAGCAAATGGAGACACCAGATAAATCCATACATAGTTATCGTATACAGATATACGCATAAACCAACCAACGTCACCACTGTCATTGCAGCTTCCTCTTATATTGTTGTCGTTTCCAACTCCCATATCGTTTTTTTTTTTGGTTATTCAGAAGCACAGTGATGAATACAAATAAAAGGACATGGACTAAGTGGCTGCGAACTCAAGTTAGGTACAACTTATATTCTCGTAGCCACTTTTACAATGGAAAAATGCGTTTACAAGACATTTGAAAAAAACTATGGATAGCATGAGTCAAACCTCCCATCCCAGAAGAGAAGGAAAGCATAGCAGGACACATACAACTAGAAGCGTTTTGTTTCAGTGATGTAGTTTTGCGCGGCTAACATAATTTCACACTCCCATATCTGCCTACATAGGTAAATTTCTGCATACCTCATTCCATAAGCGAGACCAAACCAACAATACATGACCATATTAGCCCATATATTGCTATCGATAGTAGTTTGTAGTAATAATTGTAAGATAGTTTAGTTTTGTAGTATTGTTGTTTTACTGCCACACATTGCACCATCTACGATTGTCGAGCAATATTAAAAGTTTATTCATTCATTCCTAGTGAAGCATACACCCTGTAACGACGTGACCTTCATATATTTCTATCCAAGGCTCCCCCGAGATCTGCCCAATCACCGCGATGTATGCTCACAGTCTGGTCTTCTGACAGCTACAACCGCGGGTTCTGATTGGGCCATGTTAATTGGATTATATGGATGACATCATCTAGGAACCCCAAAACTGACGCCAGCGTGCGAATAAAAAAGTTTGGCCAAAAAAAGTAGTTGTCTTCATTTTGAAATCTACGTGGTCATGAAGGTTGAACAAATGACTAAATTTTAAACACACTAAATTTTAATTTTTTT